GGGTGGCGCCACCCCCCTGCCTGGGGGGCGGAAAGAAAGCCCCCGGCCCTGCCCCCCCCCCCAGGAGCTTCGGTGGCTGAGGGAGAACTAGACCCCGGGTCTCCAACACCTTCCCCTCCACCCCACGCCTTTGACTGAGGTCACGTAACACAGCAGACTGAGCTAAAACGCATTGGAGAGTTTGTGATTCAGATTGTAGCATGAATCAGGCCATTACCGGAAGCCTTAATATGATTTCTTTGCTGGTGCGTAGCACACTTATACGAGCACAGCAATAGCGTTTTGTTCATCTAGGCTGAGGATTTCTCTTGTTGTCTGAATGAAGCTGTTTTATGTGTGTGTTAATTAGCTTTATGGGAGCCAGTTTGGTGTAGTGAGGAAGCACCAGGCTAGAAACCAGGGGGCCGTGAGTTCGAGTGCCACCTTAGGCACGAAGCCAGCTGGGTGACCTTGGGCCAGTCCTCTCTCTCAGCCTTAGGAAGAAGAAGGCCAGGGCAAATCACTTCCAAAAATCTTGCCAAAAAGGCACACATTTTACAAGCTTTATAGCCTGCCTTTCCTTTAGAAGTTCAAGGTGGCAACCTGACACCCCATTCTTCCATTTTCCCCCAAACAACAACCTTTTGAGGTAGGTTTCGGGTGAGACAATGACCCGATGATCTTGCAGGGCTGAGTTGGAATTTAAACCTGGGTCTCCCCACTCCTGGTCCAGCACTTTAACCACTACCCCACACTGAAATGATAATATTCTGCATTTAGCTCTGGTTTAGCGTGCTGCGTGAACTCAGCTGTGGTAGTTTGCAAACCATGGTTTAAATAAACTGCAGATCCAAGAGATGGCAGCTTGTTCAACAAACTATGGTTAACACAAAACCGTGGCTTGCTTCGTGATGCATTTATTTTTCACAAAGCACCATTACTATAATGAAATGTTTTCTGTTCAGGATATATATATTTATATCTGAATGCATTTTTGAGATACAGTGTGTTCAAAAATAGTAATTAAAGTATGAGTTCTCAATTAGATTCTGGGTTTTTTTTCTGAAAAAAAAAAGCAAATTAACATGAAAGAGAGAATCTGGATCGATGCTCAACCAAGCAAAATCTGAGATTCCATACATCCTTTCTTTTCTTTCTTTTTTTCCAAACAGCACTTTAGACAGTCCTCTTTTTCTCTTTCATTTCTCTGAACAGGACCAGTTTTGCACAGCGTTTTCGAAAGGTGCATGAAATGGGTTTGCTGATATTGGTTGGGAACAGCTTTTGATTTTTAGTGTTCTGCCTCGCTCTGCGCCCTTTAGTCCATCCCCTAGAGCAGTGTTTCTCAACCTCGGCAACTTTAAGACGTCTGGACTTCAACTCCCAGAATTCCCCAGCCAGCTGTGCTGGCTGGGGAATTCTGGGAGTTGAAGTCCAGACTTCTTAAAATTGCTAAGGTTGAGAAACGCTGATCTAGATCCAGGGCTGAGTCTATTCCAAATTTTGTTGGGGAGAGAGAAAGTGAACCTTTAAAATATCTACTCGGAAAAAGAGTTTC